ACAATTTTTCTGATTATTTGTTGATAATTTTTTTTCTTATTTATTTGAATAACAAAATTCAATTATATTTACTTTATTAGTTTTTAAATTTTCTTGTTTATAATTACGTTCTTAGTTCTTAAATGGCTGAGTTTACTTTACTGTCTGACTGAAATTGACCTGAACTACTTAATTTTAAGGTAATTTTTTAAACTTTTTGGAACTCTCTGAAATTATTTTTTTATTTATCTAACAATCCCCTACGTCTCACTAAATACTTACTTTACTACTTAGAACATATTTTTGCCGTTTTCTTTCTTTTCTGAAAAATAATTAATAATAATAATGACAATTTTTATTTCTACTAATTTTTTTTAATCGTTTTGTTAATAGTAATTTTTTTAGTAATTCAATAGTAAATTAAAAAAATTACGTTAATACTAAAAATAAATAATACATAATAACAAATATATTTTTAAGTCTGATTTTTCTTCTTGTCTGACTAAATATTTGCTATACTACTTAGAACATATTTTCACTATTTTTTTTTGTCATTTACATTCATAAAATAATATTCGTCTTTGTATGATTTGAGACTTTTTGTAAAAAGGTGTTTTTTCTGTAAATAATTTTTCTTTCCTTGGAATTTTAATTTTTCGTATTTTTCTTTCGTTGGAATTTTTAGTTTTCTTTCTCTGGAATCGTAATTTTTCGTATTTTTCCTTCGCTGGGAATTTAATTTTTAGTGATTTTCTTTCACTGGAATTTTAATTTTTCGTATTTTTCTTTTACTTATTTAAAATTCTAGCAAAAGAAAACTACGAAAATTTTTTAATTTTCGTAGTTTTCTAATTTTCTTTTGTTAGAATTTTAATTTTTCGAATTTTACTAATAAATTGGTAGAAATTACTTTTTGCGAATAAAAATTACTAATTTAAAGGCAAAAAGTAAATTAGTAATTAAAATTATAAAACATTTTTACAAATTTAAATTTATGGAGTGAATAATGTTACAAAATGTTATAAATATAAATAATTATGATTAATAATTATTAATTGAAAGGAGAAAGAGAAAAACGGTGGAAATATATTCTAAGTAGTAAAATAAGTGTTTAGTCAGACAAACTTTAAATTCGTAAACTTTATAATAATTTAATTCGTCAACTACGAAAAAACACCCCTAAAAAATAAAGTGTCTGACTAAACATTTACTATACTACTTAGAATATATTTTCAACGTTTTTCTTTCTGATATATAAAAAAAAATAGAGGAAAATAAAAATGAAAAAATTGCTCGGATCACTTTGGATTTGGAAAGAGACAATAGAGTTGATTCGTATAATGTAGAGGGTGTTCCATATAAAACGCTTGGGTTGAGGGATGAGGAGCGACAAACGACTCTCGCGGCAGTTTGTTAAGAACGACGAGATTTATTATTCGCAGTCAGCGGGAACCGAAAAGTGTTTGAGAGTCACTGCATGGCAATATACCATGATGTCAGCCACTATGCCATTGCCGCTGCCGCGCTCTGTTCCTGCCGAGGCTGAAAACGTGTTACAGGGGAGAGAGAAAGAGAGAGAAAGAGAGAGAGAGAGGCTTGACTTTACCGAGGTACAAAATGATATCATTGGGTTATAAATTCGAAGCAAAGAGAAAAGAGAGAGGGTGAGAGAATCGTACTTCTCCCTTCTTGTTACAACCCTTCTCTTCTGTATAACTCTCACTCTCGATCTCCCATTTTCTCTCTATATTTCCTGTTTCCGCTTCTCTCTCTCTCTCTCTCTCTCTTCTTCCCTCCCTTTTTTCCTTCTCTCTTTCTCTTTTTTTCTCTCTTGTTCCCTCTTTTTTTCTTTCTCTCTTTTTACTCTCTTTCTCTCTCTAACTTTTAACTTTTTCTCTTTCTAACTTTTTTTTCTCTCTCTCTTTCTTTCTCTCTCGATTTCGCTTTTTTCTCTCTCCTTCGCTCTTTATCTCTCGTTCGCTGTCTCTCGGTTTCTTTTTCTCTCTCGCTCTCCTTTTCTCCGTCATTCGATTTTTCTCGCTCTTCTTTTCTCTCCCTCTTTTGCTCTTTCTCTCTCCTTTTTCTCTTTCGTTTGCTACCGTTAAGAGGAACGACTCGCGAAAAGAGAGAGAGAGAGAGAGAGAGAGAGAGAAAAACAGAAGGAGAAAAAAAGATAGAAAGAGAGAAAAGGCAGAAAGAGTAAAAAATACAGAAAGAGTAAAAAAGGCAGAGAAGAAAAAAAAGTAAAAAGAGAGAGAGAGAGAGAAAAAATACAGAAACAGAGTAAAAAAGAGAGAGAAGGAGTAAAAAAGAGGAAAAAGAGAGAGAAAAGACAGAAAAAGAGTAAAAAAAAAGATAGAAAGAGAGAGAAGACAGAAAGACTAAAAAAGAGAGGGAAAAAAAGAGAAAGAGAGAGAAAAAACAGAAAGAGAGTAAAAAAAGAGTGAGTGAAAAAAGAATGTAAGAGTAAGACAGAGAAAAAGTATATATATTTTTCCCTCCCCAGTTTTGCGTGAAATCTCCCATTGTTATATACATGGAGCAAGAAAATATATACGTATATATAACTGCCATAGACTCGGCCTCCACCGAATAAACAGAATATTCAGATAATTTTCCATATCCCAAACCCTCGACCAACGCAACGCTATACAGCTCTCTCTCGATCCCCCTCTGTGCGCGGTTGCACACGATTTTGTTTTACCTTTCATTCTCCTCTCTTACACCCCAAAGTACTTCGCTACAGTCCCACTTATGGGGCAAACGTCCCTGATGAACAAACAAATCGAAATTTATATGGGTTTTTATCTCTCCTTAACTAATCAGCATTTCTATATTTTATACAGTTTTGTGATATTTTTCTTCTTTTTTTTTTGACAATTTTCTTTATTAATTTGTGTACAAAATTTATTTATTAATTTTTGGGAAAGAAAAGTATTGTTAATTTAAATAATCACAATTATTGGGGAATAAAAATTGTTTTTTTGTCATAGTGATGTATTAATATTTAATACTTATCAAATTTATTAGAAAATGTTTTCCAAATTTTAGAAATTATTTTCCAAGTTTAAGGAAATAAGGAAATTAATTTGTAATTTTTATAAATGATTTTATAATTTTTACGAAACGATTTTCTGACTTTAAGAAATGCATTTCTAACTTCAAGATATAATTTTATTTTTATAAATGATTTTCTGACTTTAAGAAATTATTTTCTAACTTTAAGAAACGATTTTATAACTTAAAGAAATTGTATTTTAATTTTTAAAAACGATTTTTTGACTTCAAGAAATTATTTTTTAACTTTGAGATGTAATTTTATTTTGAAAAACGATTTCCTAAATAAGAAATTGTTTTTTTGTCTTTAAAAAACGATTTTCACCTCGATTTTCTTATTTTTAGAAACGATATTCGAACTTTAGAAACCGATTTTCTAACCTTAAAAAATGTTTTCTAATGTTTGGAATTAATTTTCTAACTTTAAGAAATAATTATATTTTTAAAAACGATTTTTTGACTTTAAGAAATTATTTTTTAACTTTAAGATATAATTTTGTTTTTAGAAACGATTTCCTGACTAAGAAATTGTTTTTTTGTCTTTAAAAAACAATTTTCACCTCGATTTTCTAATTTTTAGAAACGATATTCGAACTTTAAGAAACGATTTAATAACCTTAAAAAATGATTTTCTAATGTTTGGAAATAATTTTCTAATTTTAAGAAATAATTTAATTTTTGGAAACGATTTTCTGACTTTGCGAAATTATTTTGTAACTTTAAGAAACGATTTTCTAACTGAAATAAATTCTATTCTAATTTTTTAAAAACGATTTTTTGACTTTAAGAAATTATTTTTTAACTTTGAGATATGATTTTATTTTTAAAAACGATTTCCTTACTAAGAAATGGATTTTTGTCTTTAAAAAACGATTTTTACCTTGATTTTCTAACTTTAACAATTTTCTAATTTTTAGTAACGATATTCGAACTTTAAGAAACAATTTTTGTAACCTTAAAAAATGATTTTCTAAAGTTTGGAAATAATTTTTTAACTTTAAAATTTTATTTTATTTTTAGAAACAGTTTTCTGCATTCAAGAAATTATTTTCATTTTCTTATTTTTATAAACGATATTCTAGCTTGAAGAATCAATTTTTTTACCTTACAAAATGATTTTCAAATGTTTGGAAACAATTTTCTAACTTTCAGATATAATTTTATTTTTAGAAACGTTATTCTGACTCAAAGAAATTATTTTCTATCTTTAAAAAACGATTTTTACTTCGATTTTCTAACTTTCAGAAATGATTTTCTATTTTTTAGAAACGATATTCTAACTTTAAGAAACGATTTTCTAACTTTAAGAAATGATTTTTTAAGTTTTAGAAAAAGTATTCTAACTTTAAGAAATTAGTTTCTATTTTGAAGAAATGTTTTCGTATTTTTAAAAAACCATCGTCTAATTTTTTAAAACAATTTTTCAACCTTTAGAAATTGTTTTCTTATTTTTAAAAATAATTTTCTAATTTCTAAGAATCATTACCTAATTATTAAAAAAACATTATCTAATTTTTAAAAATGGTTTCATTTGTAAAATTTACTATTTAAATAAAAGTCATTTTAATAAAAAAATAAATAAATAAATAAAATTATTCCTGTTATACAAAATAAATTATTATTTATTAAATAGTAAGAATAAATGAATATAATAAAAATAAAAAAAATTGACAGAGATACCAAAGTCTAAATTCGTTTACATTTTAAAACCAAAAGTAATTGACAAATATCCTACTTTTAAGCTTAAAACTGGATTTAGTCAATGGACTTAAAATAATACTCTCAGGGGTAAAATTCAGTCAAGAATATTTCTATAATGTAAACGGTTTTAGTAAAAATTGGACTAAAGATAAGATTTATTTTTCACAGTGCAGTACAATAACAATAAATCAAAATAAAAAAGAAGTAACAATTTTTATTTTATTTTATTAATTAAAAAATTTTTTTTTCTTTTCTACTTTCAGGCATTTATCCTCCAATTCCTGTCGCGACACCCTGCATAAAAGCGATATCTCCCAGTGAGGGGTGGACGCAGGGGGGTTCAACAGTGATAATAATCGGTGACAACTTCTTCGATGGTTTACAAGTCGTATTTGGCACCATGCTCGTATGGAGTGAGGTTCGTTATAATTTTAATTGCATTTCTAGAAATTGTTTCACTCTTCTCGTAAAATAATAATAATAACAACTTAATAAGAATAATAGTAATGATAATAAAAATAATAATATAATAAACAATAATTCAACTTGATTCGGAGTGATCGTTCGACACAATGTTTTTATTTTAACTAAGACGATCGAGTGATAAATTCAAATATTTATTAATAATAGTAGTAATAATAACATTAATAATAATAATAATAAAATAATAATAACAATAATAATAATAATATTCTTGAATATTTTCAACAAATTTTTTTTTCTTTTGTTCTTCATTTCTATAGTTAATAACGGCTCACGCAATTAGAGTTCAAACTCCACCACGACAAATACCAGGAGTTGTCGAGGTGACATTATCCTACAAAAGTAAACAATTCTGTAAAGGATCTCCAGGAAGATTCGTTTATGTCTGTAAGTAAATATTTCCCTATAATTATTTGTAATTTCTTAATTTTATTTCTAGAATTATAAACAAAAGTTTTATTTAATTTTTTATTAACACAAATTACTTCTGACTTTAGACGATAAAAAAAATTTTTTATTTAAAAGTATTTTATTTTATTATTTTATTTATTAAATAAAATACTTTTAAATACAAATTTTTTTTCGAATCTACTACTTGGTATAAATATATTGCATAGCTCTTGTTAATTACATTTTATAAAAAACGAAAAAGAATATTAATTGACAATTTTAATATTAAAAATTAGATTAGATTAAAAATTAAATTAGAGTAAGTATAAATAAATTTTAATTAATAAATTTTTGTATTTAAAGACAAAAAAAAATATTTTGCAGCGTTGAATGAACCGACGATCGACTACGGATTTCAGAGGTTACAAAAATTAATACCACGACATCCCGGCGATCCGGAGAAGTTACCGAAGGAAATAATTTTAAAGAGAGCTGCCGATCTGGCTGAGGCACTTTACAGTATGCCTAGGGGTGGGAATGCAAGTATCACAGGGGCACCGAGAAGTCCAGTTTCCGGTCATCCACCGGCACCGCCGACATCAAGTTCCGCCACTGCTTTCAACTCGTACACTGGCCAACTTGCTGTCACCGTCCAGGAAAATGGTAGCACCGCCAAATGGACGGACGGTGAGTAATTTTTGCCTAAAAAGAGAATTCTTATGCATTTCTTTTGAACTACAAAAAACTACATTCAGAAATTGGAAAACTGAAAATTTTATATTAAATCTATTTTTTATATATATTTTCGAAAATAATAATTTAAGAAAAAGGAAATGGTAAGGCCTAAAGATAGATTTTAAGGTTTTGTCTGACTAAAACAGTCTTTTACTACTAGAAAAAGATTTACTGATATTACCATACTAATAGTAATTAATACCAACAAAAATAAACAACAAGAAAGATAATACTAATTTTTATAATATGGATTTAAAAGATCTGAAGATCTGTCTGACTGAAATTGACTTGTACTACTTACTGATAGTAAATTTACTTTACATTTTTGTTCTATTTTTACTATTTTTAGAGAAAATTTAAAAAAAGGTCTTGATAGCTTTCGGAGATTAATACACTCTTCTTCTGTTGATAGAATTTTTTTTAGGGGCATTTACAAACCTGTCTGATTAAAATCGCTTCTACTACTTACAAGTAGTTTTTATTCTTAAGAAAAAAATTTACAGACGTTATATAGACTTTTGGTTGACTTTAACTTTGCTCCACTACTGACAGTACATTAATAGCAGTTTAGAAACTATTTTGTCTGACTAAAAACACTTTTACTACTTAAAATAAACACTTTTACTTTCTTTTTTAACTTTTACTACTTTAAAAGTATTTTTACTGGTTTCAATAAATTTAGAAAAGTCCTGAAGATTTTTAAATGACAAAAACTTTGTTTTCTTCGTAACAGCGCATTAATAGAAATTTTTTTAAATCTTCGTCTGACTAAAACATTGTTTACTACTTAACAATTATTACTAAAAGCAGTTTTGCTACTTAGAATAAATTTTATAGAAGTCTTTTTTTTACTAAAAGTTTTTTTTATTATAAACAGCATAATGATAGGAATGTAGAAACTGCTTGTCTGACTAATGATTGTTTTAATACTTATAGAAAAATTGCAGAAAATTGTAAAGAGTTTTGGTTTATTAATAATTAATATAGTTAAAAAAAATCAAAATATTACAGAAACTGCTTATCTATAGGAAGTTAGAAACTATTTTTCTGACCAAAAAGGTCCGAAAATATATTTACAGAAATACGTCTGACTGAAAAATTCTGTTACTACTTATTCTATATTCATACAAAAGAACGTAAGTGTATTCAACAAGCATGTTGAAAAAAAATTTTGAAACTTTTTGTCTGACCTAAAAATTCTTATACTACTTAGAATAAATTTACAGAAGTTTCAAAGTCTTTTAAGTGACTAAAACTTTGTGTTTTATCGCAAACAGAATTATAACAGAAATGTCGATACTATTTATCTGACTAAAACAACTTATACTACTTAAAAGTTGTTTTACTTACACTACTAAACACAAAAATACTTGTCTGACTAAAAATTTATTTTACTTCTTTTAGTGAACAGGCAAAAATTTTTGCACGCGATTACATAAATTTGGAAATAGTTTTGTATTTTCTATTATATAAAACATTTTTTTATCACTAGCTTGTATAATTCTTTAAAATTTACTTGTCTGGACAAAAATTACCTATACTACTTGTAAATTTTCTATTACTTGTTTCAAGAAGATTTTTCGATTTTTAAAGTAGAAAAACTTCGACCCACTAAAAATAGATTAAATAGGATATTTACAACAAATATGAAAATTCTTGTCTGACTAAAAATGTTTTCTACTACTTTCAGTAGTTTTAGTAAAAATGCGACGTCCGCTGTCTGACCAAAACAATTTTTTCTACTAATGACAAGAAATTGACAAAGATTTTGTCTGACAGCAATTGACGTTTACTATACTTACGATAGTAATTTTGTGACGAAAATTTAATTAATAGAAACGGAGATTTTTATCTGTCTGACTAAAAATAGTTTCTACTACTTTTAGTATTTGTAGAAAAATACTAGAAAAAATTCGTCTGACAGCAAATGATTTTTACTACTTATGATAGTTATTGTAACGAAAATTGAATTCATATTTACGAAAATTTTTATTTGTCTGACTAAAAATTGTTTCTACTACTTTCAGTAGTTCTATTAAAAAAACGAAGTCTGCTGTCTGACTAAAACAATTTTTTCTACTACTGACAGGAAATTTATAAAAATTTCAAAGAATTTCGCCTGATTGTAATTGACTGTTACTACTTATAACATTTATTGTAATGAAAATTGAATTTATTATTTGAAATATTTTTATTTGTCTGACTAAAATTGGTTCCTACTACTTTGTGTAGTTTCAGTAAAAAAGCGAAGTCTGCGTCTGACCAAAACAATTTGTTCTACTTCTGACGAGAAATTGCCAAAAAATTCGTCTGACTGCAAATAACTTTTACTAATTATGACAGGAATTGTTACGGAGATTTTTACCTTGTCTGACTAAAAATAGTTTTTACTACTTACAGTTAGATTTACAAAAAAAATAAAAAAAAATAAAAAAACGTCCATTTTTGTAGGGAAAAATTTTTAGCACATTAATTGAAGAAAAAATCGGATACTGACGATTTTTGTATGACGGGCAGGTTTCTATTTTTAGACGGCGGTTCGGTAACGTCAGGCGCCGGAGCTGGAGGTGGAGGCGGCGGCGGCGGCAACACTGTCGACGCCTATAGGCAAAGTAGCAGCGCGAGTCCACGGGGGGTTGTAACCAGTGGCGGTTACTGCGGAAGTTCCGCCAGCACGCCGCACAGTCACAGCACAAGCGGAAGTTACTCCGTCGCCAATCCCTACACCGGAAGTCCGACCCTCTACACTTCGCGTAAGTCTCACCACCACCACCATACAACCAACTCTAATTAACAGCGAACATCTCTATTATATGCGCAAGCGCTTATCTTCTTAACGTTCAAGATTCACCGACGAACGCAATCTTCATTATTAATTTTATATTCTGAGAACTTGAAATTGCGCCCAATTCAGATGCCCCATGACGATATTTCGCGACAATCATTCGCGGAAAAACAGACAAAGAACTCCTTTGGTTTTTTTTTCTTCTTTTTGCAAAATTTATTAAGGACAGTTTTTCAAAGGATTTGAAATTGAGACAGAAAAACGAATCAAAAATGTTGCTTCGCAACACTTTTGATTCGTTTTTTTGTCTCAATGTAATATTCTTAGAAAAACTGTAAACAAAAAAATTATATTTTTGTTTTCAATTTTAAAAATTCGTCTTCGTCACAGGGAGAAGAAGAAATTTTTTTTATTGTTTTTAATTAATCTCCTTTTAATTTTTATTTATTTCAAATAAAAAATGTTATTTTGCACAAACAAATATTTTGAGTGCAGTATTAAGTATTTTATTTCATCGAAATAAAATTTATTTTGTAAGAAACAAAATTTTATTTTATTCCAGAAAATTTATTGATTTGAATAATTTTATATTTTGCATAAATAAATTTTTTTTTATTTGCAGCAAATAAAATTTGTATCAATTAAAAATTATGTAAATCAAAAAAAATTTGTAACAATTAAAATCTATTTGAAACAATAAAATTAATTTTTGACAAATAAAAATTATTTGTGACAAATAAGAATTATTTGAATCAAATAAATTTTAATTCCATTAAATTTAAAAATATTTGTCACAAATAAATTTTCTAGATTGTAACAAATTTTCTATTAAAACCAAATTTTATTAGCAGAAAAAAATTTTTTTGTAATAAAAACAAAATTTTATTTTGCATATAAAAAAGCTTTTTACTTGAATAAAATGAAAATTATTAAAAAAATAAAATTTATTTGAATAAACATTTTTCATGTAAAAGAAAATTTTATTTTGTGCGAGCAAATTTATTTGAAGAATTTATTATTTCGCAGAAATAAATTTTTTAGCCGAAAATAAATTTTTTCAAATTGAACCAAATGAATCACAATTAAAATTTATTAGAACGTAACAAAATTTAATTGTAAAAAATAAAATTTATGTACAAGCAAAATTCTATTTTGCACAAATAACTTTTTTTTAGTAGACATTAATTTTTTATTGAAAACAAATTTTATTTTGTCCAGTAGATTTTTTGGACAGAAATAATTTTTTTTTTAGATCGAAATAAAATTTATTTTGTAGAAGATAAATTTAATTGTTAATAATCAATTTTTTATTTGATCGAAATAAAATTTATTTGTACTAAAATAAAATTAATTGTAAAAAATAAAATTTATTCGAACAAAATTTTATTGACACAAATAAGTTTTTTGGTCGGAAATGAATTGTTTATTTGAACTAAATATTATTATTGTATAAACAATTTTCCGCACAAAATTTTTTGGGCGGAAAGGAATTTTTTGTTTTGAACTAAATAAATTTTATTTACAATAAATAAAATTTATTTTCAAAAAATACAGTTTATTAACAACAAATATAGTTTCTTTGTAACAAATTAATTTCTATTTGCCTGGGAGACAGAAAATTATCTCCGATGAAAATTTATAACTTTTCTCTTAGTGCATTTTTCTGTCTTTAAAAATTTTAAATCAGAATATAAAATACAATAATATTATATTGCTGCGTCCCAAATTAATAAATAAGTAAATAAAAATAAAGTAGTAAATAAATAAGTAAACAAATAAGTAAAGAAATAAGTAACTAAATAAATAAGTAAATAAGTAAATAAATAAATAGGTAAATAAATATTTAAACAAATGAGTAAAGAAATAAGTAAATAATTAAATAAATAGATTTATAAATTAGAAAATAAATTAGTAAATAAATAAGTAAAGAAATAAATAAATAATTAAGAAAGTAAATAAATAAGTAACTAATTTGCTTTTAGGAAACAAACATTTTTTTTTCTCAATAAACAATAAATAAATTTGCATGAGCACGAGGCTGAAGTTTGCATTTTAATTTTGCTTAATTGTCGCACACACTATTATTATCATTATTATTATTTTTTTTCCTCCTCATTTATTTGCATTCACTTATTATTTTCCTTGTGGATTTTCATTTTAGCGCACGAACAATATGGCATTTTCTATACGTCCGGGGACGGAAGTGCGTTCGCCCCTGTAGTTCGACCACCGACCACCTCAGTCCCACCGCACTGGTCCACACAGCACCACCTCGCCACAGCCGCCCAGTAACCGCTAACCGTCCACCACCATCACCACCAACCCCATGCACTGTGATTAAAAATATTATGAGAATCCGGCTAAGAAAGAGTGTAGGTACTTCCCCAAAAATATTTCTCTTCTCCACCCCCCTTTTATTCTAATTCAATTCAATTTGCATATTTTCTATTTGTCAAGAGAGAAAAAAAATTAGAATACTTTTTTTTCATCCCCCAATTCAGAATTATTCAGAAAATGGTAGAGTTTCATTTTTTCTTTTTCTTTCAGATCACTGTAAAAATTAAGTTTTTTGCATCTTAAATTCACATTTTCGGGAATTTATTTTCTTTAATTAATTAATTAATTTTAAAGAATTAATTAAAACAATATATTTTAAAGATATTGAATTAATTAATGAATTAATCATTTAATTAAGTTTAATTAAGCTTCCAATTGATTATATTAAAATTGTAGAAAAATAATATTCTTTTATTAAAAATTACTTGTCCGAAAGTATTTTTTTTTCATTTCTTACATTTTGTATTTTAATTAAATAATTATGCAGAATTTTTTTATTTAATTATATTGAGTCAATCAATTAATCATTTAATTAAGGTTTGAGTTAATTCTATTCAAATTGTAGAATAATTGTTCTTTTATTGAAAATCACTTGTCTGAAAATATTTATTTTTATTTCTTTTCGTTTTCTTACAATTTGAATTTGAATTTATTAATTTTAACGAATTTTTTTTATTGAGTCATTATTTGTTTAAATTTATTCTATTGAGCCAATCTTTAACATTCAAATGGAACTTATTTAAATTGTGGAAAAATAACATTTTTATTAAAATTCACTTGTTCTAAATTATTCGTTATTTTTTATTTTTTTATATACAATTTTAATTCTAATTAATTAATTTTTAAAAATTTTTTTAAATTTTATTGAGTCAATTGATCAAATAATCATTTAATTAACTTTCGAGTTGACTATTTTCAAATTGTGGAAAAATAACATTTTTATTAAAATCCACTTGTTCAAAATTATTCGTTTATATTTATTTATTTTTTATTTTCTTATACAATTGGAATTAATTTTTTCAATTAAATTATTAATTGACGTTCGAGCTGATGATATTCAAATTCTAGAAAAAATAATATTTTTATTAAAAGCCACTTGTCTGGGTGTTTTTTTTTATTTATTTATTTTCTTCTTATTTTTGCACAATTTGAATTTGAATTAATTAATTAATTAATTTCTAAGAATGAATTCTAAAAATTAATAAAATATTAAATTTCACATTTAGTCGATTTAACATTTCAGTAAAAAATTCGACTTAAACTATATTTTTACAGTGTTCACTTTTTTTTATTAACCATTACTCGCACGTGCTTGTTTTTTAATTTGTTTAAAAAAAACAATTTTCCTCATTCGTATTATAAAATTCGCTAATTAACTAAATTTTTGCAAATTTTTTAAATTAACAGAAATTTTTTTATTTGCTAAACAATTATTTTCTAAGCCAAAAACTACAATAATAAATAATTATTTTCTATTGAAAATTGAAAAAAATCTAATTTCCTTTTTTTGGGAATTTTATTTTTTTGAGACTTCTTCGTAATAAAAACTTTTTAACTTTATATTCGAGGGAATTGTAGAAAAAAAAATGATAATTGAAATGTTACAGGATTGGGAGAAGTAGTGGGATCACCGTTCAACATGAATCCATTTATGTTGCCAACTTGTAATCAAGGATATTCCACAACTGGCAGTCCACTTTTATCCTCGAATGGTAAATAGTGTTACGAGATGTAAGCTGCGCCGAGAATATCAACAATTTCACAAAAAAAAGAAAAAAAAATTGGCGGAGCTTTTTTACTTTCCTTTCGACAATATATCGAGAATATTTTTTCAAAATGTCATCTCAACTGTTTTGGAAAATGTGCAGAAAATTTTCCCTCAATGGGAAAAAAAATTATTTTTTCACACTTTTTTTTTCCTTGTCAAAATAATCAGATTTCAATTGAATTGTCCAGATGAAAGAATGAAAAAAAAAAGAAAATTGTAACCATCACTGATTTCTATTGATGACAATGATAGGAAATTAAAAACAAATAGTTAATTAGAGAAAATATGACGAATATCGGGAAAAAATTAAAACCAGTGCAAATTTGAAAAATTTAAATTTACAGAAAACAAGATATCGTCTATTTAAATTAGTTGATGCAGTCGAATTAATAAACAAGAAATTGTATACATATCGTGTAAATTATGAGGAAGCAGGATTTTCCTCGTTGGAAAATTAACACTCGTATATAATAATAAAAAAATGAAGGAATTTGTGCCGGAAGGAAATTTAAAATGGAAGGCAAAAATAAAAGAATTTACAATAAAGGAAAAGAAAATAAATTCTTCACGTCATTTATTTCAAAATAATTGATTTGTGATAGAATTCGATTTTTTGGGAATTTTTCATGAAATTCTAATTTCTCATTTTCTTTTCAATTTTTCAAAATTGAATCAAAGTTTAAAATTTTCTTTTAGAGAAAAATGTAGAAATTTTAGATTTTATAAAATGGAATTGACACTTTAGTTTTCTAAAAACGAAATTTATTAATTTGGATTTATTTGGAAAAACATTCAACTTGAAATAAATAAATAAATTTTTGGAATATAATTTGTCTTTTATTAAATTTTGATAATTTATGCAATTATTACGACCGGTTGAATAAATGAATTCAATTTTGATTAATAGAAAATGGAAAAAAATAATTTAAACTTTTATTTAAAGAGAATTTTAAAACAAACTAATTTTTGTTATTGAAAATTCTATTATTATTACTATTATTACTATTATTATTACTATTAAAAAAATTATTTACTGTGATGCAACGAATTGTTTATACTTTACAAAAATAAGACTTGCGTGTATTTTTTTGTAAATGAAAAAACGTAAAAGAATTATTATCGCCCTTGTTAATGAATTTTTCATTATCAATTTTATTATTTTTAGAATTGAAATTTCAATTATTAATTTTATTAGTTTTAAAATTGGGATTTTAATATCAGTTTTATTACATTTTTAGAATTTAGATTTCGATTTCGATTCTGTTTGTTTTCCAATTAAAATTTATATTTCAATTTTATTACTTTTTCAGAATTGAAATTTCGATTTCAATTGTATTAAATTTCCAATTGAAATTTCATAATTGTTTCATAATTGATATTTCGATTTCAATCCAATGAGAATTTTACAAAATTGAAATTTAATTTTCAATTCTGTTAGTTTACCAATTAAAATTTCAATTTTTTTACTGTTTTAGAATTGAAAGTTCGATTTCAATTCTGTTAATTGTCGTAGTGAAATTTCAATTTCTATTAGTTTCATAATTGAAATTTCAATTTCAATTCTGTTGGTTTACAAATTAAAATTTTCATTTCAATTTTCTTACTATTTTGGAATTAAAAGTTCGATTTCAATTCTATTCGTTTTCGAAGTGAAATTTCAGTTTTTATTAGTTTCATAATTGAAATTTCGATTTTAATTCAATGATAATTTTACAATCGAAATTTTCATTTCAATTCTGTTTGATTCTCAATTAAAATTTCAATTTCAATTCTATTTGTTATAGGATTAAAATTTCGATTTCAATTCTATCAGCCTTATAATTGATTTTTCTATTTTAATTTTATCAGTTTTCCAAATGAAATTTCCATTCTATTATTTTTACAAGTTAAAATTTACATTTTGCAATTAAAATTTATGTAATTCAATAATAAAAAATTCTATTTCGCAACTGAAATTTTCATTCTTCTCTATATAGTTCAAAATAAAAAAGAATGGAAAAAAAATTGTCGGGAAAAAAGGTAGGGAAAAGTTTATTAAAAATTTTATATATAAAAAAATGTAAGGGGCATGTTATCGAAGAATTCTTTTCGAGGTAAGAAGAAAATATAGCGAGTTCCGCCTCATCTGCCAGCAAAGAAGTAACAAACAGTGAATATTTTATAACAGTCGGACGTTGTTGTATAGTTCTGGAAGTTTAGAGTGAGAGAGAGAAAGAGAGTGCGAGAGAGAGAGAGTAAGCGAGCGTGCAAAATAAAAACAAAAAGGGAAGAAAAAAAGAAAAAAATCCCAATAGACGGACATATCGCTTATCAATGAGTAACAGACTTAATAGTTTTTAGAAAGACAAAAGTGCGAATTTTGTCCCCAAATCCAGAAAAAAAGAAAAAAACAATTGTCTTCTAATAAAGACAAAATCCAGTATCGTGATAGATTATATAAACGTCAACTGCGAAAATAAAAATAATAATTTGTACATTACTTGTAAATATTGTTACGATGTACAAAATACAAAAAAAAAATTATATATTATAAGTAGCTATTTCCATAATACGCGTTTTGAAGGCGTAGTAACGCGTTTGTAGAATAAACGTTGTTATATATAAGTGTACATAATCTTTAGAGAGTCCGTAGTTTATTCTACATTGAAAAAAACACGGTTTAACTTTTGAAAATGTTTCCAAAATGTTTACGCCGACTTTTAAGTTTTCTTCAAACGCGAAAAATTCGCGTAAATCTAATTTTCTGTCCTTAAATAATAATTCTAAATGAAAAATTATTCTTTCTCCAAAAGTTAAAAAAAGTCTAATTTTTTAACTTTAATTAATTTAATTCAATTCATTAATTAATTAATTTCGAATTAGATTCATTTGAATTAATTAAATTAAATTTACCTATCAATTCATTAATTTCGAATTATATTAATTCAATTAATTACATTAAATTTATTAGTTAATCAATTTTGAATTAAATGGATTCCAAGTAGTTGAATTTAATTAATTAATTTCGAATTAAATGAATTTCAATTCATTGAATTTAATTAATTTCGAATTCAATTAATTTCAATTCATTTAATTTAATTAATTTCGAATTAAATGAATTTCAATTCATTTAATTTAATTAATTTCGAACTAAATGAATTTCAATTCATTTAATTTAATTAATTTCGAATTAAATGAATTTCAATTCATTGGATTTAATTAATTTCGAATTAAATGAATTTCAATTAAGTAAAAATTAAATTGATTAAATAAAGTAAATAAAAATTTTCGGTAATTTAATTCAGAGCAAAGAAAAGTCCCGGATCATTGAAAAGTTAAACCCTGCGTTTGTAATCTATAAAAACGTATATAGATGATGATTTGGATTGTTAAAAAAAAATCAGTCCAAAACAAATCTTATACACGACTCATGAAAGTATACGAAAAGAACCAAAGTATCCCGAAGAGTCCACATTTCATAAGAAAAGAAAAATTCACCAAGTACAATTTTCGAAAAATTTTATTTCAACCATAAAAATCGAGAGTTTATATTTAATATATAATTGTAACTTCGGTCCATAGAAGTTGTTTTTTCGCATATCATATTAGAAGAAAAGAACATATCTCATTGGAGTGCTCTTTTTACATTAAAATTTATTCTATTCTAAAAGAGACGAAAATAAGAAAAAAAATAAGAAAAAAATTGTATACAAAAAGGGAAAAAAACACAGAAAATAATGTTTCTTCATTGCTTCGTTATTGTACTATTTATTTAATATTTATTAATAACATTCAAAACACAATGTTACCGCTATTTCAATAATATACATTACATTAAAAAAAAGAAGAAAAAAAAACGAAAATGGAAGAGAAGAAGAAGAAGAAAAAAAGGGAAAAAAACAAATTACTTGAATACACACAAAAAAAACATGTCTATGTATATTACTATAAAAATTATACTACATTTTTGGGAATTAAACATTTTGGATTCACTGATATGATGTGTTTGTTACTTTCCTCTATCCTCAATGTAAATTATTAAAATTTATTTATTTTGCTATTATACGAATAAAATTTATTTTTATGTTAAATTTAATTTTTTATAATTTTAATTTTATTTAATTATAATATTCTAATTATATTATGTTCTAATTATATTGTATTATCCAAACAACTAAATTGCAAAAATAAGTGCCACTCTTGCGCCAAGAAATATTGGCTTTTATTAGTAAAACTTTCTATTAAAATTTTGAAAAAAATTTTGTAAAAAATTAGTGAAACTCTTAAGCCAGAACTCTTGAGCCGAAAAAATTTGTCGTGTTAAAAAAATAAGTTTGCAAAGAATCAAAATCAATTAATTTCAGAAAATTAGTCCAACTCTTGCGCGAAAAATAATTTTTTTTGTACATGAACTAAATTTAGAAATATTCTGAATCAATTAATTTTAAAAAATTAATTAAACTCTTGCATCTGAACTCTTGTTCTAAAAAAAAAATATAATTCAAATTCCGAATCAATTAAAAAATTTATTTTTTAAAACCAAAAAACCTTTTTTGTACAAAAAATACGCTGAAAAATATTTCGAATAAATTAATAATAAAAAAAATATTCAAATTCTTAAGCCAAACAAATTTTTTTTAAATAAAATACGCTTAGAAATATTTCTTGCGCGAAAAAAAATTTTTTTGACCAAAAATACTTTTAGAAATATTCCAAATTAATTAATTAAAAAAATTAGTTAAACTCTTGGGCCAAAAAAAATTAATTAAGGTACTCTTGCGCTAAAAAAAAAATTTCTTGTATAGAAAATACACTTAGAAATATTCTAAATCAATTAATTCAAGAAAAAAATAATTCGTTATACTCTGGAAAAAAGTTTCGGAACTCTTGCGTTAAAAAATTAGAAAAACTCTTGCGCGGAACTTTTGTACCATAAAAAGTTAGGTTTTCTCTTGCGCCAGAACTTTTTAATTAATTTAGAAAAATTAGTGAACTTAGAAATATTTCGAATTAATTAATTTTTTAAAAAAAATTGTTAAACTCTTACGCAAGGACTCTTGCGCCAAAAAAAATTACAGATAATATACTCTTGAACCTGAACTCTAGAACTCATAAAAAAATTTGTGCCGAAAATAAACTTAGAAATATTTTTTATCGATTCCTTAAAAAAAAAATAAAACTCTTGTGCAAAATTTTTTTTGAAATTAAAATAGGCTTAGAAATATTTTTAATTAATTAATTTAAAAAAATAGTAAAACTCTTGCGCCAAAAAATTTTTTTTAAATAAAATACGCTTAGAAATATTTCGAATTAATTAAAAAAAAAATTGTTAAACTCTTACATAAGGACTCTTGCGCCAAGAAGCTTGAACTCTTGAACTTGTAAAAAAAAATTTGTGCAGAAAATACACTTAGAAATATTTTGAATCAATTAATTAAAAAAAATGGAACTCTTGCGCCAAAACTCTTGAACCAAATAAAAATATTTATACTCTTGCGCCAAATAAAACTTGGTTTATGCTAAAAATAAATTATAAAAAATTACGAATTACTTAATTTTAAATAAAAATTAGTTCATCTTTTGCG